ATATCTCTCTTCCAGAGAGTGAGGAGTAACTGGTGTGATAACAACCCCACAGGCAGCATCTCTCGGGGGTTTGGATGGCACACACAGGATAAAAATCCTTAAGATCCTTCTCTTTGCTCTGCTGTGATCTCTGGTCAGTCTGGGCATTGGGAACAGCAAAATCAAAGGGAGATGTGTGGCAAATGCAGCTGAGATCCTGCCAGGAGGACCTCAGGAGGGTTGGATGGGCATGGCTGGGAGCTCTGCAGCCTGGGCACAACTGGCACCAGGGAAGGAAACAGTTGGAGCTGGAATGAGCTGCTTTAGGGACCAGGCAGGAAAGGTCCCACTGTGTCCTGACTCCTAGAGCTGTGCCAGGTCCTTGTCACTCTTTGGGAGACAAGGGAAACTCCAGAGCCACTTCCCTGCTGTCACCAGGCAAAGCTCATCCCACTGCCCTGCCAGAGGAGTTGGATATTTCTAGGTGTTAATTCTGCATAAAATCCAATGATTCTCATTTGTTTAAACTGCAAATCATCCTTTTGTTTTTCTCCCATTTGCTACTTTTGTGTTCAACTGCTCTGAGTAACTTTCCATCAGTCCCAGGGGAGAGCACAGTCCTTCTCCTGCCATCCAAGAGGTCTCTCCAGGCTTTGAGCACAATTAGCCCCACCAATCTGATTTGCTGCCAGCAGAACACCCCAAGGGTTGGGAGAACTGTGCCCACAGACTTGTACCTGGGTCAGCAGAGCCTGGAAACCACTCCTGGCACTGCTCACACCCCATCCCTTGGCACAAATAGCTCTGCACTGGGAACACTCCATGGCCACAGTTGCCAAAAGGAAGATGCCAGAAGAGGAGCTGTGAGTGGCTCAGGGACTGTGCTCTGGGTTTGTTTTGCAGCTGAGGATCTGCCTGCACGTGCTGCAGCTCTGCTCTCCCGGGGCCACACCGAGGTCCTGCTGCTGCCTTCTCCAAAATGGTCATGCCAAGACACCACCTGAGCTGTGCAGGAATAGCCTTTGCTCTCTGCCTTCAGCACCTCGTCAGCACCATCGAGGTCCCTCTGGATTGTAAGTTGTGCTTTTACCCCTCTCAAATCTCCTGCTCAAGTTGGGGTTGGAGATGGAGTGAACCCACAGCACAGGTGGATTTCCTTTTCCACCAACAGGTTTTCTTTACTCTTGTTTGGCTGGGGCTAGTTCTGCTCTGCTGAAAGTCAACTAAATCCTCTCTGATTCAGTCATTCTCTCTCATTTATGAGCTTTTGAGACTCAAAACTACATATTAAAATGGAACAGAGTCCCCGAGAGAAGCTGGAAAGTCTTCAGCCTGTTAAGTGGAACATCCCAGAGCATCAGGGCCAGGTTGGATGGGGCTTGGAGCAACCTGAGCTAGTGGAAATTGTCCCTGCCCATGGCAAGGGGTGGGACTGGGTAATCTTTGAGGTCCCTTCCAACCCAACCCATTCTGTGGTTCTTCTGGTGTTCCTACAGAGCATGGGAAAACTTTGGGATGCTCTTTTGTGGAGGATGTGAGCTCATTGCTGATCCTACCTGGCAGATGCTGCCACGAGCTGCCACCTGGTCCTCGAGGGCAGGAGAGTCCTGGGCAGGTCCTGAGTCTGAGCATCACCTAAAGAGCCAGTGAAGGGTTTATCAGGCAGCAATTAGCCTCTGACTCGGGGGGATGACACTGAGGGGGCTCAAGGTGAGCTTGACCATGGGAAAGGGGGAACATAATGAATTCCTGGGAGGTCCCCAGTGCCTGCAGGTGAGTGGTGTGAGCACCCCAAAGCCCAGCCAGGCAGTATTTTGCCCCCAAACCCTGGTGCAGAGGAGCTGAGAGCTCACAGGATCACTCAGCAGCAGCTTCTCCCCCGTGGACACTAAGTAGGTAGATTAGAACACGCTTGGATGGCGAAATGGTTTGTGTATAGTATTTGCAAGGCCAAAAATAACTCCTTGTGTTGATGTTTGTGGGCAGAACAAATACAGGTTTGCTCTTCAACGTTAACCTTTTGTCTTTTTCCCCTCCATGCTTTCACTTGGGGGATAACAGCAACTATTCAGAGTTACTGTAAGTGTTCCCCTCCCCTCTGGGTGTTTGTGCCCATCTCCTCTGCATGGCCAGAGCAGGCACGAGGGCTCTGTGTGGAGCAGGAGCTGGTGGGGGCACAGGGTGTGCTTGGGGGCATTGTTCAATCTTGGTGGCCAGAGTCAGGCACAGCTGGGAGAGGCCTGGAGGGGCTGGAGCAGCTCAGGGGATGTTTGGGCTCTGTGCTGGCTCTGGAGCAGGAGCCAAGCTGCTTTAGCCATGTCAACGTTGCTTCTGCAGGGGTTTGCTCTTGCTTTTGCCAACCTTTAGGGGAGGGCAGGAGCCTCTGCCTGGCATCAGAATGTGTGCCAGGCTCAGCCTCACATCCTGACACCTTTGCAGCAGGGGCTGAGCAAACAGCCTCAGACCTGAGTGGCTTCATCCCAGGGCTGAGCTCTTCGCTTCCGAGTTCAGGGCCAGAGCCAGGTCCTATACCAGCTCTGGGCTTGTGTGCCCCTTTCAAGCCCTGCCCTCCTAAACACCAGTGCTGTGCTCCTTCAGGGTCAGCCTGGGGGGTTTGAACCTCTTTCTTGCACAGCTTGTCCCTGGGAATGTCTGAGTCCCTGTCCCAGTTGCAGCCTCACAGCCTGGGGGGTTCCAGTTGGATCCCATCTGTGGGAGATGCAAAGTGAAATTTCTTAATGGGACCAAGACACCATGGGGAGAACCAAGAGATTTTGGGTCCTGAAAGGGAGTCTGAGCACTGCTGGTGGTCCTAGAGGTGATGAATATCCCACCCCACCAGTGCTCATGGGAATATCCTCAAGTGTTGAAGAGCTTTAAACCACAAGTTGCATATCCAGCCTGGGGAAGAAGCTGAGATCCCATCAGGATGTGCTGCAGGATGGCACAGAGGGATCCACCCTCTTAGCACAAGTCTCCTCCCAGCTTTTCCCTCTCTTTGCAGTGCCTCAGCCCCCCACAATCACCAAGCAGTCCGTGAAGGACTACATTGTCGACCCGAGGGACAACATCTTCATCGAATGTGAGGCCAAAGGGAACCCCCGTCCCATGTAAGTGCATCCACAGTCCTTGTGACACTCAAGCTCCACTGCTCCTTGGAGCAGGCTTGGAGCAGCTCCCCTGCTCCTTGGAGCAGGCTTGGACGAGCTCCACTGGAGCAGGCTTGGAGCAGCTCCACTGCTCCTTGGAGCAGGCTCTGAGCAACTCCGCTGCTCCTTGGCTTGGAGCTGGAGCAGCTCCACTGCTCCTTGGAGTTGGCTTGGAGTAGCTCTGCTCTTTCTTGGTGTTGGGTCTGGAGCAGCTTTGCTGTTCCTTGGAGTTGGGTCTGGAGCAGCTTTGCTGTTCCTTGGAGTTGGGTCTGGAGCAGCTTTGCTGTTCCTTGGAGTTGGGTCTGGAGCAGCTTTGCTGTTCCTTGGAGTTGGGTCTGGAGCAGCTTTGCTGTTCCTTGGAGTTGGGTCTGGAGCAGCTTTGCTGTTCCTTGGAGTTGGGTCTGGAGCAGCTTTGCTGTTCCTTGGAGTTGGGTCTGGAGCAGCTTTGCTGTTCCTTGGAGTTGGGTCTGGAGCAGCTTTGCTGTTCCTTGGAGTTGGGTCTGGAGCAGCTTTGCTGTTCCTTGGAGTTGGGTCTGGAGCAGCTTTGCTGTTCCTTGGAGTTGGGTCTGGAGCAGCTTTGCTGTTCCTTGGAGTTGGGTCTGGAGCAGCTTTGCTGTTCCTTGGAGTTGGGTCTGGAGCAGCTTTGCTGTTCCTTGGAGCTGGGTCTGGAGCAGCTTTGCTGTTCCTTGGAGCTGGGTCTGGAGCAGCTTTGCTGTTCCTTGGAGCTGGCTTGGAGCAACTCCACTGCTCCTTGGAGTGACTTGGAGCACCTCTACTGCTCCTTGGAATGACTTGGAGCACCTCTACTGCTTCTTGGAATGACTTGGAGCACCTCTACTGTTCCTTGGAGCTGGCTTGGAGCAGCTCCCCTGCTCCTTGGAGTGACTTGGAGCACCTCTACTGCTCCTTGGAGCTGGCTTGGAGTGGCTCTGCTCTTCCTTGGTGCTGGGTCTGGAGTAGCTCTGCTCTTGCTCACAGTTGGGTGTGGAGCAGTTCTGCTGTTCCTTGGAATGACTTGGAGCAGCTCCACTGCATTCCAGCTGTGCAACATCAGCCAAAGCAGCTGTTGGGCCACACAGCCCAGCTAAGGATGTCACGAGACAGACACAGCCCCTGGTTACAGAGCAGCCTCTCCCTGTGCTTCCAGCTTCTCCTGGACACGCAACGGGAAGTTCTTCAACGTGGCCAAGGACCCCAAGGTGTCGATGAGGCGACACTCGGGGACATTGGTCATCGATTTCCACAGTGGGGGAAGGCCTGAGGACTACGAGGGGGAATATCAGTGCTTTGCCCGCAACGACTACGGCACCGCTCTCTCCAGCAAGATCCACCTCCAGGTGTCCAGTGAGTAATGAGCCAACAGCCCCAAGGAGGTGTTTGCATCACCATGTGAGATCTTGTGGAAAAGGCATGGAGAACATCCAGTGCTCAAACATCTCAGCTTGCTCCAGCTCTGACCTGTGTCTGGGTGTAGCAGGACCAAGATGAATGGGGGTTATGGCTGTAGCTAACAGGGAAACAGTTTGGATTGAAGGGTATGGATAACCCAACCCTGTCCACAGCCAGGTTGGATAAATCCTTGAGCAACCTGCTCTGGTGGGAGGTGTCCCTGCCCAGGGCAGGGGGTTGGGGCTGGATGATCTCTAAGCTCTATCCCTTAACACGCTATGATACTCTGATTTAAGGATATGGATTTAAGGGTATAGATTCATGGGAGTCTTGCACACCTAGAAATGAAGTTTGCATTGAGGTCACTCCATTAAAACCAGGCCAGGCCCAGTGGGAATTGCTCCACAGGTGTCCTGCCCTCCCCTCCTCACGTGGTGTCTTTGTTTCCTGTGGCAGAGTCTCCCCTGTGGCCCAAGGAGAAGGTGGATGTGATTGAGGTGGATGAAGGAGCTCCTCTCAGCCTGCAGTGCAATCCTCCCCCTGGTCTGCCCTCCCCTGTCATCTTCTGGATGAGCAGCTGTGAGTTGGGGAACCTCCTGCCCACCCTGAGCCCTGTGGGGAGCCCTGTCAGCACCTGCAGCACGGGAAAGAACCTGGTCTAGGGCAGGTTCTGCTAGTTTAGGGCAGGTTTTTTCTAGCTTAGGGTAGGATTTGCTAGTTTAGGGTAGTTTTGGGTTGTTAGCACTAGTTTAGGGATGTTTCTACTAGTTTAGGGTTGTTTCTGCTAGTTCAGGGTTCTTTCTACTAGTTTAGGGTTGGGTTGTTAGCACTAGTTTAGGGATGTTTCTACTAGTTTAGGGTTGTTTCTACTAGTTCAGGGTTCTTTCTACTAGTTTAGGGTTGTTTCTACTAGTTTAGAGTAGTTTCTGCTAGTTTAGGGTCGTTGCTGTTAGTTTAGGGTCATTACTGCTAGTTTAGGGTTGTCTCTGCTAGTTTAGGGCAGTTACTGCTAGTTTAGGATTGTTATTACTAGTTTGGGGTCATTACTGCTATCTTATGATCATTTCTGCCAGTTTGGGGTCTGTACTGCCAGTTTAGGGTCTGTACTGCCAGTTTGGGATCGTTACTGCCAGTTTGGGGTCTGTACTGCCAGTTTAGGGTCTGTATTGCTAGTTTGGGGTCTGTACTGCCAGTTTGGGGTTTGTACTGCCAGTTTGGGGTCTCTGCTGCAAGTTTGGGGTCTGTATTGCCAGTTTGGGGTCGTTACTGCCAGTTCTGAGCTCAGAGACACCACACGTGCCTCGAGTCCAGGCTTTGCCACCTGCAGGAGTCCCCAGCAGGCTCTGAGCTCCCACTCTCCCCACAGCCATGGAGCCAATCCACCAGGACAAACGAGTGTCCCAGGGCCAGAACGGAGACCTGTACTTCTCCAACGTGGTGCTGCAGGATGCCCTGACCGACTACAGCTGCAACGCTCGCTTCCACTTCACACACACCATCCAGCAGAAGAACCCCTACACCCTCAAGGTGAAAACCAGTAAGTGTCATGCTGACCCCTCAGCTTGGGGCTCCTCCAGCCTCTCTCAGGCAGGATTTTCCTTCCACACACCTTGTTCCTGTCATTGACACCTGCCAGGGAGAAGAGTGGTTTATCTGATTTATTGAGGTTAGCACAAAGAACCAGTTTGGCTGAGGAAGGAGCTCAGGCTTTGAGCCATCAAGGCTCAGCTGGCAAGGGGAAAAGTGGATGGTTTCCCTCCAGCAGCTCAGAGCTTTGCAGCTTCACAGGTTGAGAGCTGCAGAGGTAGTTTGGTGCAGGTATTACTGAGTCTGGGATGACCTGGGAAGTGTTTCCACACAGGTGGGACATTCCCACCATCCTCAGGGACATGGAGACTGTCAAGTGATCTCTCTGTAGTTTGAAAACTGGAAGTAGCCTTGGTTTGCTCCAGGTTTCAGCCTTGCACAGCTGAGAATGTTCCTGCT